CTTCACTCCTCTTGTTCTAACCTCACCTATAGAAGTATTTCCTACCTTGGACCCCCATGAAATATCCCCTGTCCCCTTCCTGGCAGTACTGTTATTACTGGGCACTCCTTGGGAAGAACCAGATCCTTTAAAGGACTCGGTTCTTGATATCTTGCTCGTTCCTCCTTGATAACAGAATCCAAAAGTTTTGTTTTGGTACACATTTCCTCCTCCTCCACTTGTTTCTTTCATAACATCTTCAACATCTCTTGCTACCTCTATAGCTCTTAACAAATCCTTTGGGTCGTGAGGCCTGATTTGTTTTCAAATTTCAATTCTTAGTCCTGCCAAAAAATATCCAAGAAGCTGGTCTTCCTCCATAGCTGGGATTTGAGACACTAAAATTTCAAATTCCTAAGTATATTCTTCCACACTTCCTCCTTGTTTAATGGCTGTCAATCTCTCGAAGACTGTACTCCGTTCCTTTCCTCCAAACCTTCTATTCAAAGCCACAGTGAATTCTTCCCAAGAAGGATTCTTGGTTTTTTGTTTTCAAAATCTGAACCAATGATTCACATTCCCTTCCATGTTGATAAAAGCCAGACGAAATTTCTCTCTTGGGTTGATCTTTTGAATCTCAAAAAAAATTTCCACCCTTCCAATCCACCCCATAGGGTCAGTTCCTTCAAACACAAGTAGATCCACCCTCTTCACCCACTGTCTCTACACTACTACTTCTTCCTCTGAATCTTCTTGCTCCAATCTTCCTCCTATCCCCCCTTGTACCGAATTTTCACTCTTCTCAGATTCTCTGTCACTTTTCTTGAAATTCTTGAGTAAATCTTTCATTTCTTGAATAGCATTTCTCAGCTCTGTATTCACTTTTTCTTGTTCACTGGTCCACCTTTCCAGCACTCCTACTCTTCCGTCCATGGCTCCTTGATTTTGGATCCGGCAGGTCGGACCAAATTGTTAGGTTCTGTGACAGAAAGAACGTACGGTTCCACGCAAACTCACGTCTCTCCTCTTACACACACAGGAAACAATACTCACAAGTACTTTTATTATTGCTTTTAACATGAACAATACTCTGATTACAATCAACAACTTCCCCTCACAGGATGTAATTACATCCTGTTAGTGAACTAATTTCGCAAAATAATCCCCCTCTCTCACCCCTCAAACAGCTATATATAGTCTTATTTAAAAACTATTCTCTGCCACCCATAACTAACTGTAAGTTAGTTATTATTTAATTTTTTCCTCCTAACATATACTTTCCAATTCCTAACAGTTACAAATGGGTAAAAGGCAAATTGTTCTATATGGACAAACTGGTTTTACCACGCACGTACTCACATATTCTTGTTATAATTAAAGATTTGCATGAATCTCCATTGGGGGGCAAAGTGGATTTTTCCAAACATTTGAAAGGGTGGCAGGAGTGGTATATTGGAATGGAATGAAGAAAGACATTAAGGACTTTGTGACCCATTGTGCAAAATGTCAAAGAAATAAATCGGACACGTTGGCTCCAGCAGGGTTACTGCAACCTCTCCCTATACCCACTCAAGTTTGGTCTGATATTTCAATGGACTTTATAGGGAGATTACCTAAAGCTCAAGAGAAAGACACTATATTTGTTGTAGTGGATTGACTTACCAAATATGCCCATTTCTTTTCCTTAGTACATCCTTTTACTGCAGCGGACGTAGCTCAGGTTTTTCTGAAAGAAGTAGTTAAACTTCACAGTTTTCCTTCTACAATTATTTCAGATAGGGATAAACTTTTCCTAAGCAAATTCTGGAAGGAATTATTTTGTCAAGCTGGGACCAAATTAAAGTTTAGTACAGCTTACCATCCCCAAACCGATGGCCAGACCGAAGTAGTCAACCACTGTCTCGAGACATATCTCCATTGCATGACAGGAACACAACCTAAGAAATGGCCACAATGGCTCCCATGGGCAGAATTTTGGTTTAATACCAACTACAATGCTTCCGCCAGAATGACTCCCTTCAAGCACTTTATGCCCATGACCCACCTTTGTTATTGAAAAGATCTACAATTCCTTCAAAGGTTGACAGTGTTAATCAAATACAATAGGAGCGGGATGACATTCTTAAGGAGTTAAAAGCGAACCTAGCTAAGGCCCATAATCAAAACAAAGTCCAGGCCAATAAACATCGCAGGGATGTTGAGTATCAAGTTAGAGATTGGGTATATTTGAAGCTACAACCTTATAGGCTTAAATCCTTGGATAAGCGCCCAAATGAGAAGTTAGCTCCGCGATTTTATAGACCTTACCAAGTGATTGATAGAATTGGACAGGTTGCCTACAAATTGGAGTTACCTCCACACAGTAGAATACATCCAGTATTTCATGTTTGTTTGTTAAAAAAAACCATTCAGCTGTCAACAGATCCTCAACCATTACCAGTTTTATTAATAAAAGATCATGAATTAATTATGTCACCGGCTCAATTACTGGATACACGTACCAATAGTCAAGGGAAGATGGAAGCACTCATCCAATGGAAAGACCTTCCACCTACGGAAAATAGTTGGGAATTAGCTGAAGTCATAGCCAAGAAATTTCCTGCATTTCACCTTGAGGACAAGGTGAAACTTCAGGGGGGGAGTAATGATAGATATAGGTTAGTCTATAAAAGGAGAGAAAAAACGGGTTAATAAACAGTTAACATTGTAACTATTTTTTTAAGCAGAACAGACTTAGCATATAAGTCTATCAGGGAGGGCTAAGTTTTTAGTTTTTCTTCTTGGGAGATTTTTTCGAAGTGATCTCTAGTGGTGAGAGAAAGGGAAGGACTGAGAAGATTACTTCCAGTTTGTAAAGTGCATTGTCATTACTTTGTGTGAGGGAATTTTGTCCTACCACATAGATAGGTCAATTCATATCAATAAGAGGTATATTCAATTTAGCAGAAATATCAGACCTACCAGAATCTAATTAACAACACTCTTGTGGAAGGAACTTAGTAAAGTATCAGTGGGCAATATTATGATATGATTACAAAAGTTACACATTACACAAGATCATGGAAGCATAATATTACAAACTGAAATGCATATTAAAATGTGCAAAGTGCAAACCAGTGTTTACGTCTTCTCTCTCCCTCCTCTCTCAAGACATAAATATCGATGTCTAAGTGAGCATGAGAAAAAGGATGCACCTACACACATGCAGCAGCAGACCATCTTAGGAGTCAGTAGGACCCATGGCTCTCTCCAAAAAATTTATGCCTACTGTTTTTGTACATAAAATATTTTAGTGGTTCATCAAAACTATATTTATAATGTTTTTGAAAAATCATTCATATTTTCAAAAGGAGAAGAAAAAAAAGTGAAAAATGCACAAAAGAGAGGAGGAGGTGGATCAAGAAGTCTTTGGCTCTTTGAGATGTTTATAAAACACTAGACCTAGTTTAGTTTCTAAGGATGTTTATAAAGCATTTAATTTGGTTTTTATATGAGCAATCTATAAATAAATTTTATCCCTGTGGATTTTTAAGAACAAGAGAAGATTAATTTGAGATTTCAATTTCAATAATTTTTATTTGTTGGAAGGTCCACATCACCTATCTCATGTCATGTAGTATGGTTTAAATACCTATTAAGTTACTCCACATATTGCAAATTGGTTTTATGTTGGAACCTTAACATAATATCATAGCTAAAGTCTAACTTTTTTCTGGTTGTTGTCTTGGGCCAAGAGTTATCCTTTCGTTGTAGGTCAAAAGTACCTTTTGTCTGATCCGGCAAACTTCGTTGGAGGGACGTGTTGGAAGTCTTATATCGTCTGCCACATGTCATGTGGTATAGTTTAAATATCTGTTAGGCTACACCACATATTGCCAATTAGTTTTATGTTAGAACCTTAACATTATTCTTGATCTTGTCAATTGTGCGAAGTTTTAGTAGAAACAAGAAAGGCAAACACATATAACTTGAGTGAACAAGTAATTTGATTTATCTTAAATGTTTCAGTGAACAAGTAATTTTCTTTATCTTAAATCTTTCAGTTTCCACATCCATTATAAAAGATAATTTTCAGCAATGAAAATAATCAAAATAAGATTCCATAATAAGATGGAAGATGAATTTCTTCCAAACAATATAGTGGTTTATGTTGAAAAAGAAATTGCAAAAATATTTTGATCTGATTCACCCATTAATGACTTCCAAGTCTTTCTAAAATGTACTTCCAAGTCTAAAAAAGGAGTAAAGAGCAGCAACATAAATGCATGTATATTTGTTCTCTTATATAGCTTGTTGTTAGTTTACACTAGTATGTTATTTGAAACTTTGAAAAAACAATATATGAATAATATAAGTTTAATTAGATAATTTTTAACTACTATCTTGTGGCTCCTCCAAAAAATTGTAGTCAAGGTCCACCACTGTCATGAAAAAGGTGACACAAAAATTCATTGAAAGAGAAATGTTAGCAACAGTCAAAGTAATAAGTTGGTTTGAACATACTCTGTATTGTTGACTAAAATTTATTAGAAATTATGTAATTTTGTAGGTCCCACTTCTTATTTAATGAGATCCACTCATGATTTTCTACTTTCCCATTAAATTTAACCAATGATAGAGTGTCTTAGAAGGAATGGATTATAGTGTGTGTTACAAGCTCCTGTAATTGCAAATGAAGGATTCTGCAAATTACAACTCAGATATAAAAGTAGTGGGAAGGTATCCTTCAATTGACTAGGACCCACAATCATAAGACAAGGATGTGAAAGTATGGTAGTGCAACATGTTCTTGCCAGAGAGAGTAGTTACATCAACATTGCCAAAATTTAAAATCATTGCCAGCAATAGAGACAACACTCTAGTCTCTAGATGAGTGATACATTTCCCAATCTTTAAACTCAGTCACCACTACTCATTGCATGAACAAGATTATAAACGAAATGATACAATACTTCAAAAGTACGGAAGTCCACTAATTCCTAACCAAAAATAATTAAAAAAAATGTGATAGATAATTTCATCTACATGCTAAAACAAAGCAACGTACCCATACAGACTTCCTTAAATTGGCGTATTAAAGGATTTTTAGGAAGATCTCGAAGAATGGTTGGCCTTAAAATTGGAAAGCTCATCCTCAAACAACTTATTAAAATTAGTTAACTGCAATTGTAACAAGGATAAGATAATTAGATTCCAAATTATAAGTAATATAACATACAAATACAATAATAAGAGGAACAAAACAAAAGGTGTTAGCTTCGGAACCTCTTCTCCAGGCTGGTATCTATTGGCAAAAACTTGAACCGCGGAAGAAAATTGCACACCGAGTTCGAGATAGTCCTACTAACTCAATAACCGCATCTTCAAGCTCCTTCACCTGAAATGTTCACATTTCACTCTAGCTCAGAAATAATATTATCAAACACAAAGATGTTGAATGGTTGAAAAAGAGAAAAACCTTGTCGAGTGCTTGTCTTTCTCCAATTGAACTGCGATGTCCTTCATCATAAGTACGGTTTTTCGAATATCCCGAAAGAACCCTAGAAAATGAGTGACGAGCAATGAGAAGTGGTGAAGAAAAGGGAAAGGTGGAAATTAGTTACAGCGATTAAAGGCTGAGAGTCGGAGCAAAAGGTGGAAGCGGCGTTTTTTAGTCGTGCAGCGCCGCAGCCGCTGCTGCCATGTGAACTTGACGCCATCCTCCGACCGGACGGGGGGGATTTTTGGAGGGAGAAAACCAATAAATTCAAGTTCACGAAAACAGGTGTAGACGCTCTTTTCTCCTTTGAGGCTATGACCATTTATTTATTTTTCTTTCACAAATTTTTGTAGTAGTATTTTTTTATTTTTTATTTCTCTCAATTTCTTAATTGTATTACAGGTCCTTTTTTTTATTTTCAATATATGTATACTTTTTTTCTGTTCTCTTTTTTAATATATAATACCATCATAATTAATTTATATTATCTATCTTTTCCTCATCATATTATTAAAAAAATATTTATATAATGATATTGATGTAATATTCTAATATCATTAGAAATTTAAATAAAATACATTGTATTAAGAAATTTTTTATACTGTTATTTAATCATACATTAACATATATATATATATATATATATAAATGAAATTAAAAACAAAATCATACAAAAAATTCAAAAAGAAAAATAAAATAAATCTTAATCATTCTATTGGATCTTTTAATCATTTGATTTCAGTAGGACAAAAATTCAATTTGTTTATGGAAATGAAAAAGTAGCATGGGCATTCCCTGATATAAATTTTAACACAACAAATATGTTTAGCAAATTAACACACAAATTAGAAAAGTTTAAATATGTTCGAAGTATTGGTAAATATATTTTTATTTTTAGTTTTTGCATAATTATTTTTGAAATTTTTATTCCTGCAATATTCATGTCTAATTTAGCCCCTAACTTGTTCACTGAAAAAAGAAGTTCATCATACAATATAATGGAAAATGATTCTCTCCTCCAACATGCCCCACCCAGCAGACTTTGATTAAAAAAGTAACAACTAAAAATTGTGATATAATCAAATAAATATTTATCAAAATTTAAAATTAATCAAAATCTTGATAATTGATTTTCTAACCAGTAGTTATTATTGAGCACTGTGAACATTTACAATTTTTTTCAACAGCTGAAGTTGTCTCAGGTTCCGTCATTGGAGCTGCATTTGAATTTCTAAATCTATAAGCTATGTACAAACGTGTCTAACATCCTGGGCTAGTACACAAGAAAATGAAAAGAAAACACTACGCAACTTTTGACAGTCTATTACAGTACACAAACATCTTCAATCCTAGAACTACTTGATAGGCTGAATTGATTGCTTGCATGGGCTGGGAATGAAATTCATAGATGTCAAATTGATCTGTCACATTGTATGTAATCCCTTAGCTAGTTTCCATTATTGCAGACTATATATACATATACATATCAATATTGCTATTGCTAACTATGTTGAGTTTGTAATCATACCCTTAAAAAGGACATTAACTTCTAACTGCCAACAACAATCTGTCTAAGTAAACATTAGTTTCTGCTGGGATGAGTGTTTTTAAACACCTTCGAGTGAGTCAAGACACAGTCAAAGGGTAATAACTAATTAACACAATGCTTAAAAAAGCATGCTTCCATTGGTTCTCAGCTGCATACTCTATAACCCAACTTCGTATAAGAAAGTTCCCTATTATCCAATATTATAAAATTTACAGTTGCAAGCTATGGGAGAAAGAACACTTGTTGGAGATTATTGGAATAGTGATTATGAAAATAACTACAAGACCTCTAAATCCTTGCAAAAAAATATCAGCAATGGTACATAAAGGGGAAGATGCAAACGAACATTTAGCCTCAGGACTGACTCTGAACAAGTGCCATGTTTCTCCCATTCCAGAATTAGATCCCATTGCCACCTGGGGCTGCTAGTGTGGACCACTTCCTCTGCAAACAGATAGTGGGACAGAAATGGGTCATCCACAAGGCCAGAAGTCTTGCACAACAGGAAACATCGTTCATTTGCAAAATCTCTGGCTGTTGCAGTACCATGTTGATGGTGGCATTTGGCTGAGGCACTTCAAGTTCCAATTACAAACATGGCAAATTCAATTGTAGAGAATGCGGTTGGAGAATTGGCAACAAAAATCACCCCATTTTAGTCGCAACCATGACAAGAGACACATATAACACTTCATAAAACTGCAGGAGAGAGGCTGTAGAGAGAATATCCAATTACAATAGGACCAAATACCAAGACCTCAAAGCCTAGTTCTCTCCTCTTCAATACTTTCCCGTTTTTCTGTTCTTCCCTTCACCCGAATGTTCAAGGAACTTACTAACTTCTCTGTCCTTGGCTCTGGCACTATTCCCTTAGCTATCATCTCCTCAAAATAACGCATAACATCCTTCACCCTCCCTTTCTCAAAGTGCTCATGAACCATGATGCTATATGATCTCCTATCTGGCCCCCATCCATTCCTCTCCATTTCTTCCCACGTTTTTCTCACACCATCTTCATCATCCCATTTCATGTACAACCTTAGCACCAAGTTGTAAACATCATCATTCATACCACAACCATTCCTCTCCATCCTCTCCAAAACCCCGTGAACTTCCCCTGGCTCCTTCAAACTCTTGAGCAAGTAACAATAAGTACCAGCATTAGGCAAGCAATTCCCATTCCTCCTCTCCATCTCATCCACCAGCTCATACACCTTCCCCATTCGCTGTATCTTGCACATGTACTTAATAAGAGAATTGTAAGTAGCAACATTCGGTTCACAACCTCGCTCACTCATGTCACGGAAAATCTCCAACGCCTCAGGAATCCTCTTCTTGAAACAGAGAGCATCAATGATGCAGTTGCATACCACAACATCCGGCCTACAACCCTTGTCCCACATGCCACGGAACAACTTCAGTGCCGTCCCAAGTTTTCCTTTCTTGGTCAATGCCTTGATGAAGATGGCATAACTGAATACATCAGCCTTGCATGGAGAAGCCACTATGTCTCTCCACACCCTCTTTGCCTCATGCACGTTCCCCAAAACACACCAACCATTCAGGATCACGTTCCAGGTCTTTATATCGGCACTACAAGAGACATTAAAGTTTTCCATAAAAAAACTATATGTAATTTAAAAAATAAAAAAATCATTACTAAATATTTTGTGACCTCAGTATTAATAAGGGGGTTTAATTAACTTTTCATTTTAGTTCTTACATCTAAAAGCTCTATATATTAGTCTATCTACAAGAAATTTTTATGTTGTAGTCCTACTTGGATTTTTTAGGCCTAAAACCGCCACATGAAAGCTAACACATAAAACGTTGATGCAAGTATAATGTCAAATGATGAATTATCCAGTAAGAAAAAACATACCTTTCACCGTACATTTTTCCATCTAATTTTTTTCACTTATTTAACCATCAAATTTTCATATATTTTGTCACCTATTACAGTTCTTTGTTTTGCAAAGATTGATAATAAAACGTCACCACCTTTCACGGATATGTAAACATTTTAAAATATGCGAAATCGATATTTATGTAAGGAAAAAAAAAAAAGTTTAGGTAGTCAAATTCGTAAAAAGAGCCTTCAGAAAAATAAGAAAAAAAAGTTAGTTTATACATAACTTAGAAAAATTGTAAAAATTTGGAAAAGTTAAATTATATATGCTAGTCAACTTTTTTTTTCCTTCTTATTTTTCAAAGTCTGTATAAGGAGGATACAAATCAAAGCAATTTCATAACAAAATCTAGTAGATGATACCTTAACATTTTTTATAATACTTCCAATCCTTCTTCATCACATTATGGAACAACGTTTCGGCCTCTTCCACGTGCTTGTACCTGCACAGCCACATCAAGAGGGTGCAAAAAGCCTCGGAACCAAGATCCAATCCGAACTCCTTCCTCCTGCGGAATAACTGAACTGCATCGTCCACTTTATGAGAACACACGAACCTACGAAGCAGGGTGGCAAACATTTTTTCGTCGATAAGTCCCTCTATCTTTGATATTTCGTCGAGCAATTGGTGCAACTCCTGAAAGCGCTTCATTTTGCCGAGAACATCGATCATCTCGTTGCAGACATCGGAACTGGGTTCGTAGCCGGCGGTTTTGGACCAGTTGAAAAACAAGTGGGCGGGTCGCCAATCGGAACGATGTCGTCGCAGGACGTCGAGAACGAGGTGGTGGTTGAGGTCGACGCCGCACTGATCTAGGGCTCGATGCAACTGGTCCGTGGGCTTGTCTCTTCGGAACTTGAGAAGGTTCTGGATCAACGAGGTTGGACACGAATGCACGAATCTTGGCCTTAAAGTTCCAATGTTGAACAGGGTTTGGAAGATTCCTTTGTAAACTCTGCTTATGTTTCTAGCGCTAAAAGCCATGCTTCGATAGCTATCATATGATTTGATTTGATTTGATTTGCTATTTTCCAAACAAGTGGGCGTGTAAAAGTTTGGTTACTTCGTATATATTTTAAATTAATTTATTCACGAGTTAATAAATAAAAATATATTTTTTTAAAATAATTATTTAAATAGTTCTTTTAAATTATAATTTTTATTTTATTTTTTTAAGTTTGTTTGAAGAAATTTACCTAAAATTATTTAAATGTAATTTTTCCATGTTTTAATAATAAATGTAATAAAATAATTTATTTTCACGTATCAAAAAAGTTATTATGTAGTATAACACTCACCACAAGTTTTTTGTATAAGAAAGATTCCAAAGTGTTTACATGATACATAAGATAATACTATATTACTAGCGTCAAAGTTTGGTTCCTTCGTATAAATAATTTGTTATTTGCAAATGTCTCAAAGTTTGGTTCCTTTGTATAAATATTTTAAATTTATTTATTTACGAGTTAATAAATAAAAATATATTTTTTAAAACAACTATTTAAATAGTTCTTTCAAATTATAACTTTTATTTTATTTTTTTAAGTTTGTGTTGAAGAAATTTGCCTAAAATTATTTAAATGTAATTTTTCCATGTTTTGATAATTAATGTAATAAAATAATTTATTTTCACGTATCAAAAAGGCTATTATGTAGTATAACACTCACTACAAGTTTTTCTATAAGAAAGATTTCAAAGTGTTTACATGATACATAAGATAATACTATATTACTAGCTTCAATTTTAATTTTAATAACATAACTCAAATTAAAATTAGTTCAAATATGTAAGAAAAAATTCATTAATATTCCATTTTTATACAAGTATAAGTAATGTACAAAAAGTTCTTTAAAAAATATTATGTATAAAATAATTTAATTTAAAATTAAAAAAAAAGCTAAATAATAACAAGATGATGATATAAATAAACAATTGATAATCATATTTTAATATATAATAAAAAATAATATTATTTAAAATAACATTATTATTATTATTATTATTAGAAATATAGATACTCATATTTTTATATAATTAAATTTTTAAAATATATTTTTCAAATTTTTATTTTATTTTACTTTTGTCATGATATTTATTTTTGTATTATGCATACTTTTTTTTTCTTTTCCATAAAAAAACTAATTATATAATAGAGAATTAGTTAATCTATGGTATCATCTTTTAAAATTTATTTTTATTACATGTTCTTTCTATACTTATTATATATAATTTTTCTCTTTTAAATTATATATTAAAATAGGTGATAAAGGATCATCTAGGCCACAACACATTCGGCCTCTTCTATATTTTACTTTGTATAAAATTCAAAAAATATTTTGTTGTCTTTTTTTTGTAGAAGATGTTTGATCCAACACACAAGACTATGATCCAGTACATAAGACATGGTCAACCAAGGTCACCCTTCATGCACTCCATTTATTGCACACTATGAAAATTCCTTGATATATAAAAATGGGAAAACGTCTTTCCCAAAGCAATATGGGACTTGGAGGAGACGAAATAATATTAAAGAAATAGTTAAGAGAGTAAAGAAAGTTAAAAGAAGATTTATAATTCAGTGGGATGCTTCACTCCACTCTATGATCTCATATATACATATATAGGATTACAGCATTTAAAACAACAACCACCAACCGCCAACTACTAACTACTAACCACTAACCACTACCTAATAATTATTCTAACACTCCCCGTCAAGTTGGAGCATACAAATTGTATGTGCCAAGCTTGGAACAAATAAATTTAATTCGAGGTCCTCTTAAAAACTTTGTCAACACATCTACCAGATGACCATTGGACCCGACAAATTCAGTGCAAATTTCTTTAGACAACAATTTTTCACGAATAAATTAACAATCAAGTTCTATATGTTTGGTCCTTTCATGGAACACCGGATTAGAGGTAATGTGGAGAGCTGTTTGATTGTCACAATACATCTTCATCTGTTAGATCTCACAAAATTTTAGTTTTTGAAGGAATTGTTTCACCTACACTAGTTCACAAGTGAGAGACGTCATTGCTCTATATTCAGCTTTAACACTAGACCGGGCCATTACATTTTGTTTCATGATTTTCCAAGAAATAATATTGACTCCAATGAGAACACAATATCTTGTAGTGGAGCGTCTGTCCATACAACAAACGTTGTGTTGGAGCCTTTTTAAGATATTTTAGGATGTGAACGACAGCATTTCAATGATCAGTACGTAAATTTTGCATAAACTGACTGACAACTCCAACGACAAAAGATAGGTCAGATCTGGTAATGGTGAGATAAATGAGTTTCCCAACAAGTCTTCTATATCTCTCAGGATCAGAGAGCGGTTCACCCTGATCCGCCATTAATTTCTGATTTGGATCCATAGGGTTGTCTACTGGTCTACAATCAATCATGCATGTTTCTTTCAGGATATCTAAAGCATACCTTCTTTGGAAGACTACGATGCCTTCTTTTGATTGAGTCACTTCAATCACTAGAAAGTATTTGAGATAACCAAGATCCTTAGTTTAAAAGTGATTGCATAAATGTTTCTTTAGCAGAGAAATTTTATCAACATCATCCCTTATAATGACTATATCATCCACATATACAATTAAATAAACACATTTTCCTGAAGCAGTATAATAAAAAACAAAATGATCTGCTTAACTTCGTTTTAGTCCAAAACTTTGAACAATGTGACTAAACTGAAAGTAATGAGGGGGAGATTGATGGAAATGTC